CCCGCGCCTGTCCCTTTCACATCCTAACACAAGGTTGCCCACCAAATACAATGGTGGAGCAAACTTGTTAAAAGGGTTAAAAGTATAGCAATGATCTTTTGAGAAATTTAGGAGTAGATAACCTCTTAGTTACTTGAATCAACTTGCAAAACAAAACACTTGCCTAATTTCAAAATCACACCTCACAACACTTTCAAAACAACTTTCAAAAACAAATGAAAACTTTTTCAAAAGACATACATCTTTGTATACATCCCCACATGGATCATTACAAAGGTTGCCACCACATTGGCCTCTTTTCAAAAACATTTTCAAAACCCACACACCCAAGCACCATTTAAAACAATTGAAAGGCAAGTGATCTAAGCAAGTAACTAAGAGCCCATGGATAACCATGGATAGAAAGGGTGCTAATACCTTCCCTTTCTATAATCTACTCCCCGAACCCAAGAAAACATCTCAAAAGGTTTTTGCTGTGCTTTTTAACCTTTCCTTTGGATAAAATAAAAAGTCGGTGGCGACTCTTGCTAACCGCAACATTTGCGAATACAAACGCAAAACCTCAAGTCAGTTCTCCCACCGTATCACACATAGCTCTAGAGCCATCCTCACCAACTCCTGAGCTGCTAACTTTAATCTGAAATTGTTAAAGTAAGGGTGATATTTCTCATAATTAACATGCATTATAAGCTTCTCAATCAACATTATATCACAAGCATATTATTTCACTCATTTTAGCATAAATTCAGGTTCAACACGCAGTTCCAATCATACAAGTCATTATGCACAAATCAATAATCAACCAAAGAATTGTAACACTGGAAGACATCCTAACATGTTACAATTCTATGCAAACATAAATGCAAACACAATGCATGTGGTACCAACACGTGACCAAGTCACCCAACACTGATCCATCATCAACCGGATATAGCAACCATCGATTCGTCCATAAACACCCGGACACGAATCCAGCCTAACCACCCATCATCACCCGGGTATCAGTTAAAGGCAATACAAGTCAAATTCCACACAATGGGAATTAACTTCACCAAAACAATGCATATGCACGCACATCACTAGCATGCAACATCAAATCAGTCTATGAAATACATCAATTTATCATAACTGAACCAAAACCAAAAACATGATATCTCAACGATCATGCACACCATCATTAGCAACATAAACATGCCTTTCATTCACACAATACTAATACATCCATCCATCACAGGTTCACTGCTACATACACACCCATGTGCGTTAGCCAATAATCACTTATTCCGGGATTTGACTCATTTTCAAAATAATTTCAGGTTTTAGGAAATCTTTTCATTTTATAAAATAGAGCATTAAATTTAAGAAATAACGTCCAAAACGGCACTCAAAACGGACTTACGGTTTGAAAGTTATGAATTTTCAAAGTTTAATATTTTTCAAAAGTTACAGCAGAACCCGATTCCTACATATGCAGGAACCGGTTCCTGCGAAGTTCAAAAATCACGCTTCTGGAAAAATGTATGGGAACCCGGTTCCTACCTATACAGGAACCGGTTCCTACGTGCATTTTTGCCAGTTTTTATAAATTCACACAGTGGAACCCGGTTCCTCCCCACTGGGAACCGGTTCCCACGACCTGCAGAGTCAAATTCTGCACTTTTGACAGCATTTATTCATTCTAAACCAATTCCAAACATACCCATACGAATTGTAACATGAGAAACACCAAAACACATCCATTTTGCACCATTATAACATCAAACAACATTATTTCATCATTCCTTTTTATCATCTGACACCCTAATGGGTTTCAACCTACAATTCGACGCAATAGAGACAATTCTACAGAACCCTAGAATTCCAAACCGGGATTCCCTAACATACTATGATCCATACTATTGAATATCTAAACCGATAATACGAATTAACTAATCGAAATCACCCCTTACCTTGTGGGTTCTTCAAATTCTGACGCTTTTGGTTTTCTCCTTCTTTTTCCTCTTCTCAAATGCACGTATGATGAATATTCCAAAATAACTCTCTTTCTCTTCTTTTTCCTTTTAATACTCCTTTTATTATTCCAATAAAATAATTAAATTAGTAATTAGTAAGAGTATAGTATTTTACCCCTCACACCCTCTAATCACTCTTCACACCACCAATACTTCTTTCCTTTAATTAATTAAATTAATTCCAATAATCCAAAAATACCAATAATTAAATTTTCAATTAAATTAATAATTAAAAATTCTAATTATTTAATAATCGGATTATTTGAGGTGTCACATGAACTCCAATGGCTTTTGTACTTACTTCGTGACATGAAAATTGCATGCTCTCAAGTCCCAGTTCTCTTTTGTGACAGTCAAAGCCCACTCCACATAGCTGCTAACCCTGTTTTCCATGAACGTACGAAACATCTTGACATTGATTGTCACATTGTACGCGAGAAATTTTCAGCAGGCATGATGAAACTCCTTCCGGTGTCCTCCAACAACCAACATGCTGATTTTTTCACTAAACCTCTCCTACCCAAACCATTTCACTTCCTCAAAGCCAAGTTGAACTTGATCAACATTTACCAAAGTTCAACTTGTGAGGGGCTAATAGATGACACAAATAGAATATAGTTAGTTACACTTTCTGTTATATAGTTAGTTGCTCTTTCCTCCTACTATATAACTGGTGTAATCTTCTTTTATTGTATAAGAGATTCTTACTCACTGCATTTTATCTTCTTGCTCTTTACTTTGAGCTCTCTTACCACTCTTCAATGGCTTCCATGTGTAAAGCATAATAACAATAATAACAACCTCTTTTCTTTCTTTAACTTGAACAACAAAATAAGATTCTTCCACTTGAGCACCAAATTGTGATTCTTTCTATTAAGCCCCCAACCAAATAATATCAACATGTGTAACGGGAAGAAATTCATTTTGTTGTTTCACTTGAAAAATGTCATTGTAATTAAACCTTAGAACCACATATCACAATTCTAGGAAATGTTTGTTTCAACGTTTCAAATTATATTTTTTGGAATAATATTTTTAGAATTATTATTTCTGGGAAAATGATTCCTACTTATGTGTTTTAGTGTTTGGAAGAAATTTAGATTTTTTTGGAATAATTATAAAATTTATTTAAATTAAAATTATAATAAAATAAATAAATAAATAAATATGAGTGATAGTAAAAAGTTATAGTTGGTTAAACATACTTTCATGAGAATGTTACATTTTCACCCTATAAGCCTTAGAATAAAAGTAAAAGAACCGGGTAATCATTATATTCTTGAAAATAAAAAATACATTAGAATATTTTTTTAAAATTTGAATCAAACATGAAAATATTGTATTATGATATCCATAATAGGAGATTATGTATATAGAGTGGATAAAGTGTAAAATATAATTGTCATAGTAAATGGATTTGATTAATTTATCAATCTTTTTTTAAATACGTGAAAAGATTAATGAAAAAAATACTATTGTTATAAACGGAAACAACTTTATTATATTTTAGAAACAAATTCGTATACTAACTATAAAAAAAAACAAATTTTAATCAAATCATAACTTATCATTTTTAAAACACAAAATTAAAATAATTATAACGGGACAATGAAGTTATTGATTAAAATATAAAATAAAAATTGAAACAAATATACTATTGGTTATAATATTTTTATAAATAATGCTAAAACAAAATTAATATTTACATACAAAAAAATTTATATTGTTGATTCAAATATTTTTATATATGGAAAAAATTATAGGCACTAATTTATCACATCTTTTAAAAATAATAAAAAAATTTTGTTCAACAATTTATTTATTTATAATTTAATTTTTATTATATTTTAGGAACAAATACACGTACTATATCAATATCTGCGCGAATGTACGAGTATTCGACTAGTAGCTAAGATTTATATTTGACCTGAAAAAATAAACAAAAAGAAATAAATAAGAATAAAAATAAATATTTCTAAAAATAAATAATAATAATAATGTAACTTAATCTATATTCTTTTTGCTGTGAAGTTGGGTTGGCTTCATTCTCTTTTACTCTGAAATTGGGTTGACTTTAACATAAGAAAAAAAACTCTAAATTTGTAGAAATTGCAAGAGAAAAAGAAAAGATAACTTTATTTATATTTTTTTATTATATTTTTAATTTTTTGTTATATTTCTTGTAATAAATTTTCCGTTTCTATTATAATTTGTAAGTAAATTGATCTTACCGGTTGATCAGAATCTGAAATGGGTCAACTGGATGACGTCTGCTTGGCTGGAAATCTGAGATGAGGGGATGTACCTATAAGGTACTCCGACGATCTAGTGAAATAGAGTGCAAAGAGATTCAAGTAAGATATTAAAAATTTAGAATGAATATTCGATACAAGTAATGTTAAAGATTATCAAAGTGGAAATTTATACCTCATATGCCACGACTTCCGTCTTGGTTTCAGTCACACAATCACCCTTCATACCCCTGATTGATCTGCAAGTGCAAAGGACTGAAAATAACTCAAAAAATGTTCCACAAAACACAAAGCCTAATCCTATAAATTTGATAGGTGTACTAAACATATAGTCCAAAAACAATTTCAATTTCTGTAATGAAAAAATGAAAAACATCAACTCGATATGGTGTAATGTATGGTTATGCGAGAATATTGAAATTAACAAAATTTATTGATGACAAAATAATAAATAAGTATTCTAGTGACTCACCCAGACACGAGAAACTCATGTGATCAATTCATCATAGATAATTATGGAGGAAACATGAGCAATCTAACATTAACAAAACATGCTCTCCCTTGCTATAATCATAAGACTATTGATGTGTTTGGTTTATTGATATTTCTATTAAAGCATCCCATCAACCCATTTCAAGAATCTCACTAGGCCAAACCATATTAACATTATGACAAAGAGAAAAACAACCTTAACATATATTACCACAGGTTATGTAGAGGTCCATATGAACCATATTCAGAATAACATCAAATCAGATTCATCTTTAGAACTAACCCAATTAGTTTTTTCGGCAATGCTAACTTCCTTTCTCACTTCCTTAACCAAATTAGCATCTAAACTTTTCTTGTAAACACCCCTACTCATATCAAGTAGTACTTTCTTCATTAGATATGCAAATTCCTCTCTAATTTTCACAAGGGGGTGTTTCTGAACGAGTTCCGTACCATTGTAGGCTTCCCTCAAAACAACTGTTTGGGTGTCATTCTTCTTGGAAATGTAAAAAACAACAGGGTGTCGTTCAAATGCTTTAGTGAACTTCTGCGGTAAAGCCAAGGGTTTGCGTAAATTTCTAACATTCTTACGCTCGGTTTGCTTATGAAGTGTAAGGTGAAGGAGCTCGTTAAAAACTTTAACTACCCTCTTCTCAGATACATCAGTACGAATATCCAAATGAGAGGCATCAATGTAAGGCGAAGTATAAGGGAGTTTGTGCCACTCTTTCAACCATTCTATGATTTTCCTTTTCAAACCAAAACCTATCGTTAAACTAACCGGAAACGCAAAAGTTCCATTATTACATCTTCTTTGTGTTTTTGCAGAGAAGCATTCTTCTCTAACTCTGATACATCAAGCTTATCATCCCAAAATAATAATTTCAACCCAACACGGTCGTTAGGGAGGCTAAAAAAGAGAATCTCTCGCGATGATTCAAAACAAAATAATCCTGGTAATCATACATTAAACCCAAATCCCATTTCAACTGATCAATAGTCTGTAACGGAAGCATCCAATCTCTCATGAGCATAAGCAATCTACACAACCTATCACTAAGTTTAAACCAATTGTCTTTAAGTACATCAAGCTCTTCGCGATGGAGCTTCAACACTACAGGGCTCAATCCGAAACACGAAACAGGAGAGCCGTCGCTATCAAGAAAATACGACTCAACAAAAATATTAGGATATCTTCTGATAAAAGAAGTGGGTTTAACGTCATCTGGAAGTCCAAGTTGTCCGCGATGATGAATAAATAAGAATAAACAAAAAGAAACAAAAAGAAATAAATAAGAATAAAAGTAAATATTTCTATCAAAGTTGGTGGTCATCTTGGTCGGCCATGATAATAGTTGTGAAGGTATCTTTGGTCTTTGATTTTTAGGAAAAGGAAGACGGGGAAGATAGTTTCCTACAGACATGGCCATTGATCTTACCGAAGACACTCTGACGATCTAGTGAAAAAGAGTGCAAAGAGATACAAGTAAAAGATTAGGGTTTTAAAATGAATATTTGATACCAGGTCCTCACAAGTGTGAGGATTTATATAGTACCACCGGTTCGTAGTCATTGGTTCCTATTTTTAGGCCTAAATATTAGGGTCAGTAAAAATCGATAACTGTCAGGACCTGGTCAAAACGGGTCGTCATGCCCGTAACTAGCCGTTACTCCGAGCAAGGGTGAGATGACGAGCAGATGCGTTGTGAGCGCCTTCCTAGTTGTCGACTCGACAAATAGCAGGCAAACCTGAAATTGGACGTGATGCGGGCAGGTGCAAGGCTAGGGTATCGTTATCCTCGATATTCTCATAGTGTGGTCGACCAAGTGTGCTCGATCGGGAATCAGAGTTAGTGAGTCAAAACTGTTTAGACCATGTTAAGATAAAAACGGATTAAAGCAATTCTAATCTTCATATCAGTCCATAACACAAATCATTATTAATTTTAAATTTTTTTTATAGTTTTAGCACTAAATTTTGTGTTTATATTATGATTTGTAAGCATATTCTTGATGATTTTGGAATGAAGAAAAAAATACATGGAATTTATGGAACTTTCAAGAAAGAAAGAAAAAATATAATTATTCAATGTTTAATTTTTTTAATTTGGGTAGAAATTCTTATTTGAGGGTGGTTATTACAAATATGGTGATCTTTCCATAATAAAGGTGGAAGTAAATTAATTAATTTTTTTTTTAAGATTTTAATTTGTTTGTAATTCTTTCTCTCGCTAATTTAGTACGTCTGCCATCTTTCTCTCCCTAATTCATTACATCTGTTATTATTCCTAAAATTATAATGCATTCTTGTTAGGGGTATGAACAAATAGAATTCATAATGTTTTGCCCAAAGAAAATAAAGAAGTAAATTGATCTAATATATGCTCTTGATTAGGATTTTAAATTTTTTGTCATATACTTTCTTCCTAATTTGTCATCTTTATTATAACTTTAAATATTCAGGCATCATTGTTGAACAGTCAAGATTTTTTTATAAAAAAATCATATGCTTTCTTCTTAATTTGTCATCATTGTTAAGACTTTAAAATATTCAGGTCATCATTGTTTGAATCAAAGATGATAAATAATTACGATGAATAACTTTCAAATTATAAAGAATAATGTATATTTTATGTTATTATTTATTATTTTATTTTTTAAAAATATTTCTTGTATTTAATTTTTTATTTTTGAAACATTTCTTAAATAATTTAGATTAACTGGAGAATTAAAGAAATAAATATTGTTGTTTAAAAAGAAAACGAAAATTTAAAATTTAAAATAAAAAAGAGAGTTCGAAAAAAAGATTTAATTAAATTTTTAGTTTTTAAATCTTTAGCAAATTTACTTTTTTATTGTTACAATTTATATTCAATATTTTATGTTATGTTAATTTGTTTGTATTTAATGATTCTTAGAAAATTTTCAAAGATGTTCATCATAAATGGGAAAAGATGCTACTGTACTATTTTATTTTAAGTAATTTAAATAATGTACATACATAAAAAAAAATTGTTAATACATATCAAAATATATCGATAGTTATTTTAATTACTTTTATGAAAATACATCTATTCTCATAAATTTTAAAATATAGTATAAAGAAACAGAATTAAAATTTGTTAACTGTAAAAATTTTTTTTTAAATCAACGAATAATATATGAAATTTTTTTAAAACAATGATTATACTTCAAAATAGTAAATTAATAATGGTTTAACTAATGCTCAAAGTTCTTTAAAAATTATGATTTAAAAAGTAGTTTTAAAGTAGAAATTAATCCTCAAGAATAACTATATTTAAACAAACTATGATTAAACTAACTATTACTAACATGATCTTTTAAAAGCTTGGTTCAAAAAGATAAAACTTTAAAGTAGAAATACAAAAATATGCATAAAACTTTAAAAATTCTTTAATGAAAGTTGAACTTTAAAAATGGAAAAGTACACAAATAGACATAAAAAATTTAACGTCAAGGTTTGATAGGCTTTTTTATAGACAAAAATAAAGTTCAATATGACACATGGTTTAACCACCAAATTGAGTCCTTTATGTTGTTTTTACAATTATAGAGTTTGTTGAAGAGAAAACAAGAGGCTTAGAGTTAAATCACGAGGTTCATATGATACTCTAAGTTGTGTGTATTGAAAAGCAATCACGAGGCTTAAGTTAAACCATGAGGTTCCTATGGTACTCTAAGTTGTGTGTATTGAAGAGAAAGCATGAGGTTTAGAGTTAAATCATGAGGTTCTTACGGTACTCTAAGTTGTGTGTATTAAAGATAAAACATGAGGCTTAGAGTTAAAAAATGAAGTTCCCATGGTATCCTAAGTTGGGTGTATTGAGGAGAAAGCACAAGGCTTAGAGTTAAATCATGAGGTTCTTAAGATACTCTAAATTGTGTGTATAGCATCACATGTGACCTATGGTACTCTAAGTTGTGTGTATAGTCTCACATGTGACTAAGTGCATTTGTTAGGATAAATGTGCAGCAAATTAGAAAGTGCAAATTAAATTTATGTGTATAAAATGGCAAGTGAAATTTTCTTTGAAAAAATACAAACCTTATTTTTTGTTGTCCAAAACCACATCTAAGATATCAAACATAATAAAGTTGGATGTATTCAAATAAAGTCTCCTATTGTACAAAATATCATGTTAAGGTTTATAAGAAATTATTACATTATATATGATAAAGTTTATATAAAAATAAAAGAGAAACGGATAAAAACAACACTCTTTTTAAATGATATAAACAAATATGAGATATTGTACTTTAAGTGCCGATGGTGGAGCTTTTTTTATAAATATAAGGTTTTTGAAAGTAGAAATACGTACCACAAATATATAATAAAAATAAAGTAATTGATGATCATATCCTATAATAAAGTCCATAATCAACCATCATCAACCTTATCCATTAAATCAATAAAGTACTACTACATGTTCGATTGCCATATAATTTTGTTGTGCTACAAGCGACAACCAACAAGTGCATTCAATATTGCATGAAAAGTCATGTTGAGAGAGACATGATAGTTAACCACACAAAAAATGTTTCTGACCTACTAATAGTCAAAGGACAAAATTGTGATACTCAAGTAATGACTATATACAATGGTTTCATTATTTCACGCCTTTTTTTTATACTTTATATCACTTCCCTTTCTTCTATTTAAGAATTTTATTCATTCAATTTTTAATCACTATAATAATTTTGTTTAATAAAATTCAACACCTTATTTTATTATTTTTATTTTATCTTCTTATTTTTTTTAGATTTTTGTTTTTATGATTATATAATATTAATTATCAGTTGAAGTTAAATTAAAATAATTAATAATTATATATTTTTTTAAATTTTTTTTTAATTTAATAATTTATTTTAATTTTTTCTAATTTTATATTCAAAAAAATGTTTAAAATTATAAATAAGAATTTATCGGAGGTTAAATAAATAAATAATTTTTTTTAATCCAAATTAAGTGAACCAGGTATTAATTTATAGACAAAAAAAATTGATTTACTATAAAATAATTGATTCCAAATGATTAGGATGATATAAAAATTAATATATTCACAATAATCAATAATAATTTGTCAAGTATTTTATGCGGTTCCACTTTTCCCTCATTTAACATGTAGAATGATTCAATACCAATTAATCTACATCATTTTCAATAATTCATTCAACACTCCATCATAAACATTTAATTATTAGAATAAAAATCCAACACTCCCGTTGTACATAGCTTAATAATTCAACATATATTTAATTTTTATTTATTACAATAATTTTGTTTAATAAAATTCAATATCCTATTCCACCATTTTTATTTTATATTCTTGTTTTTTTTTATATTTTTGTTTTTATAATTATATATTAATATCAATTATCGATTGAAATTAAATTAAAATAATTAAAATTTAAATAATTTGTTTTATTTTTTTTAATTTAATAATTTATTTGATTTTTTTTTCTAATTTTATATTGTTAATTAATTTTTATTGCAAGTAATAAAGATGAGTTTATGAGAGGCTAAACAGAAAAAGTAGAGAGAAAAAAAGTGAATTTTTTATGTGTCCAAATCTAATGAATCAAGTCTCTATTTATAGAGGAAAAAATGATGAATTTTAGTGAAAATAAAAAATAAAAAATTGATTTATTATAAAATGATTAATTCCAAATAATTAAGGTAAAATAAAATCTAAATAATCACAACAATCAATAAAATTTTATAAAATACTATATGTGATCTCAACTCTCTCCTCATTCAACATATTGAATATTTTCGACACCAATTAATCTAGATCATTTTTAATATCTCATTTAATACTCTATTACATACATTTAACTATTGAATAATTTTTTCAACACTCAATTATCTAAAAAAACCAATAGAATTGTAGCAGAGGTAAAGAAATATGTGTCAGTACCATTCTCACCTAACTCAATGTCTCTTCCAAGCATTTTTTGTTACGTTGGTGTTGGGTAGGAAACAATCATGTCTATTTCAGAACAATCCTCTCGTAGTAAACGTCACACACCTCGAAACACATGAATATTTCTTTCTAACTCCTAGAAATAAAAACAATTGGATGCATTAGCTCTATAATGACTTAGAGTAATAAAAAAGATTTGGATAATCTAAAAAGTAAAAGAACTACTTGAAATTCTTTATCTATCAATGAATCCCATGGTTCACATACGATTCTTTTCTCTAACTTCTTCATCATTGTATAATATATACTATAGACTTCTCTATTTTATAAGTAAAATACTTCATCTTAATTAAGAGTTGCTAGTAACACATATAAAATTTCATTTCTCACAATTTTTTTCATTGTTGGATTCAAGCGTCTTTGGGTTGAGTAAAGGGTTTGAAATTTTCTTCCATAAAAATCTTGTGCATACAATAAGTCGGGCTTATGCCTTTCAAATCCTTTAAAACCCAACCTATTGCACTTTGATTTTCTTTCAAAAATTGAACTAAACAATACTCCTCCTTCTTCGATAAAACATTACTAATGATTACCGGTTTGTTAGCACCATCATCAAGAAACGCATACTTTAAATGAGACGGTAACATCTTCAATTCAATTTTGGACTCTTCTTCTTTAGGTTCTTTCTTCAAAATTTCAACTTCTTCGTCCCAAGATTGAATTTCTTCTAAAGCTACAAGTTCCTTCACACATTCTTCCAACTCCTTTTCTTCATGAATATCAAGAACTTGAATAAAATTATTCAATGTTCTCTCAAGAGGTGTTAAAAGATGAACTTCACTAGAAACATCCCAAATAACTTCTTCAATACCATCAACTTTAAAACAAGCTCCCTTATCATTAGAATGTTTTATAGCTTCAAAGAGATTAAAACTTACTTCTTCATCTTGAACTCGGACCTTCATTAAACTATCATCAATGTCAATCATCATTCTTGCGGTCTTCATGAATGACCGACCAAGAATCAAAGGTGTATCATGGTCTTCCTCCATATCAATCACAACAAAATAAACCGGGAATAAAAATTTATCCACTTTCACTAGCAAGTCTTGTGCTACACCATAAGGACGAGTGATGGATTTATCGGCTAGTTGAAGTGTCATCTTTGTTGACTTCATCTCAATGTTCCCTAATCTTTTCACAATAGACAAAGGAATCAAATTAATTCTAGAACCCAAATCAATCAATCCTTTACCGACATAAATATCACCAATGGTAACCGGTAAAGTAACCCTTCCCGGATCACTTTCCTTCTTCGGTAGAGTTCGTTGAATGATAGCACTACAACTTGCATCAACCATGATAACTTCTTGATCCGTTGATCGTTTTTTTTTATAAGGATATCTTTCATGAACTTTGCATACTTTGGCATTTGTTCCATAGCTTCGGAAAATGGAATATTTATTTGTAATTACTTAAAAATATTCATGAACCTAGCATAGTGCCTAACATTTTGATCGGCAAATTACTTGGCTAGTTGCCTCACTTTAGTCTCCAAATTCTTGATAGCCACTTCATTACTCTTTTGATTTCCCATAGATGCTTGTATGAATTGAGCAAAAGTGTCTTGTAAGTTTGAACTTCTAGCTTGAGGTTGTGAATTTTGATTTATGTTTTGATAAGGACTTTGTCTATTTTGATTGTTGGCATCTTGTCTCCACCCTTGTTGATAACCTTGGTTATTTCTTTGATGATAACCTTGGTTATTTTGATATGGTTGCCTTTGTTGGTATCCTTAATCTTGATTTCCCATATAATTAACTTCTTCTTCAACCGGAGAACAAAATCCAATTTGATGATCACCCTTGCATAACTCATAACTAGTAATTTGTTTATTTTGATTGCTAGGTCCTTCTTGAATTTCTCTTAGTTATTGAGGGAGCTTTGTCGTTTTCTTTGTTAATTCTTCCACTTGTTGAGCGAACAATTTGTTTTGAGCTAAAATAACTTCATTTGATCTTGAATCACTTGCTTCCTCTATCTTTTGAACCATACTTAGACCATGTTGGACTTGATGGTCATTCCTTGTCATTCTTTCAATAATTTCCACCACTTCTTCCATTTTCTTTGCCATTAGTGATCCTCCTGCCATAGCATCCAACAAAAGTTTTGGTCGTGGTTGTAATCCATTTCGAAAAATATGAATTTGGGTAATGGCATCAAAACCATGACTTGGACATTTTCTCAACATAGATTTGTATCTTTCCCAAGCTTTATTCAATGACTCGACTCCACCTTGAGAGAACACCGATATAGCCGTTTTTGCTTCCAAGAAACGTGATTGTGGGAAAAACCTTTCAAGAAATTTTTTCTTCAAGTCTATTTCAATCTATCATGAGGTGATTAGGTTGGTCAAGATATTAATCCTTAGCTTTACAGATCAACGAATGTGGAAATAATCTTTTAAACATTTGTTCTTCATCTTCCTTGGGAGATCCTATAGCACCTGTTATCTCATAGAATTTTGTGAGATGGGTGTAAGGATCTTCACGATCTAACCTAGTGAAAGGGTTATGATACAACAATTGTAAAATTCCAGTTTTCATTTCTGAATGCCTTTGGTCCGCATTCCTAGCAAACTGAGCATTCAACCTTGGACTATTTGTACAGGGACCTCTTGATGGATTTGCCGCCATAACTTATTTTATATCTTGATTAAAATGTATAGTATAAGTGGATGCCTCTCCTCTTTCTCTTCTTTCTTTCGCTAGCTTCCTCCATCGTCTAGTCTTGCTATTAAGTTTTCTGCAAGTCCTTTCGATTTTAGGGTCAAATAGGAGTTGATCTTCATAAATACTTCCTCGCATAAACTAAAGTCTGAAAACACTAACAAAACAAGTTAAGAACAAAATATATTATTAATAAAAAATAACTTAAAACACTTAAACTATTGCAATGCTTTCAATAGTCAAATGCCAATCCCCGACAACAACGCCATTTTATTTGTAGTATTTTCAACAAAAGTATTTATATTATGGTTTTCCACAAGGATTGGTGTGATATTAATGTTGTTCTATAGTTTGAGTGTCTATAAGTGTTTGAATCATAAACAAAGTTTTAATGTTTGCTTTTAGTAACCAAAGATCAAGTTTCACGCACTAGATAGAGATTTGGATAATAGAGAGATTGTTGTTTGAAAATGTTTGTTTTGATAAAAAGGTGTCAAAATTAGTTTTCATCAATCTATTCCACATTTATTCAATTAACCTTGCATATAAACTAATCAACTATCAATATATTCACGTATCCTCTCAATAATTCTCATGTCTAAGCAATATTGTGAGTGTTATCATGTTAATCATTAAATGATCTCTTAACCTAACTATTAACATGATAATCTTTAAAGCTTGATACAAGTGAATACTAACTCATAAATCTATGTCTAGAGCTTGTTTATTAGTATATGAACATCTTAGGTCAAGCTTGGAACTTACTTCTCAATAATGAACCAAACCATAAAAATAACAATGCTACAAAGATATTCAACATTTATTAATCTTCAACCAAGTTCATATACAAAATGATTAAAAGAAATACATTAAGTCTAGGTTGACTACTTCTAACCTTGACACAAAAAGTGTTTAGATAATCATTATCATGATACCTTGCTCAATTAATAAACAATGGATGTTGATGAACATCAATCTTCAAGTCTCCTTGATTCAAGATGCAAGAGGGTTCTTGTTTTTCTCCTTCTCAAGAGATAAGAACAAAAAGTATTTTTCTATGTTGTAATGTTATGATCCATAGAACAAAAGGTTTCTATATCTAAAACCAGATTTTTTCCCTCCACAAGACAAAAGTTGGTGGAAAGTTTCCATAAAAGGTGGAAAAAAGTAGCCAAAATAATGGCCTATCTGCGCTCCATCATCGGGCGACCATAAAGCATCATCGGGAGATTCTGGAAAGATGCCACTCGTGACCAGTCGGGCATGTTAAAACCCCAAAAGAGTATCTTTCATTGCCCAGCGATAAGAATGCTTCGCCGAGCGATCCTCCTTTCGCTAAGCGCCCCAGAAGCGAAGCAATACAGAATTGAAGCTTCTATTTTCACCATTTTCGTCGAGCGATGCATTCTGTCGCCGGGAGATCCTTTGCAGAATCAACACTTTTGTTTCTTTTGTTTGGAAAACCTAAATTCTCCCTTTTTGCCATCTTTTCTGCATAAATTTTGCTGAAACACTAACAAACAAATTAAAGATTCACAATTCTTTGAACTCACGCAAAATGACTTAAAATAAATATTTAACCTAATCAAAAGTGAAATAAAAGGTCTCAAAGTGTCAATAATTGATATGACTTTTATGCAAAAGTTGACACTTAACACATGTCTGATTGTACAAGCTTCTGAGTTGTGTTCTGTTTAGAGTTTACATGGTTTCATGTAACTTGTGTTTGTGGTTTTATTCCTCTCTCCAGGTTAATTGGCTTTTGGTTTTTTTAGCCAAAATTTGCCAAAGAGGGAGATTGTTAGGTTTGTGATTTTATGGTTAGCAATAATTTTGATCAAACAAGGAGTTGACAACAATTCTATCAAAATATGTTTCATTGGCGAAAATATGTATTGTAACCTAATGTTGAATAAAATGTCATAACATCTTGACCAACTGGCACAATAGTGTATGCAAGTACTTATTTGACAGATGTGATATCAGATGTTGTAACATGTTGCAATAGAACATCATGACAGTACAGTTGGATATTTATCATTGAATATTTGATTGAAAAATATGATATTCTAGAGGTTTCTAGTACTTATAACAGACGCATGCAATCAAGGATTGTTAGGAATACTTGCATATTTGATTTATTTCATAAAAAGGATCTTTGAGACTTTTTAGGAAATACTTAAAAGATTTGTGTTGTTTCTACTTTTGTGAAGAATATTCTGTAGGGATTTAGAGCTGAAGATTATATTTGATTGAAGAGTCCAAGCCCAACTGCATAAGTCTATATAAGGAGTCGTCT